CTTCTTCTCAATTATCACTGCAATCCATATCCTCGTCCTCTAGGAACAATTTCCTCAGCCCAGCTAAAGCTTCTTCTTTTGCAGTTCCCCATATTGTATCAACCTGGTGAAAAGTCTGACCCAGATGTGGCACTGGTTACTTGAGAGGGTAATAAGGTCCACGCCATAAAGGTGACCAATCATCATGCTCCTACCATGTATACTGGTATTCGAGCCCGAAGGTGGTACCATGAAGTTTCAGCTGTATAGGTTTAGTAATGCCCTGGAGATTCTTCCCAAGCCCTTTGTCGGGTTCATACCCAGACCATGGTAGTATGCTTTCTATTTTGTTACTCCACCATTTGTCTTTCTCAACGACATTGACATGTTTGATGTGGTGATAATTTTCCCCTCCTAGTCTTCTTCTGTTTTCGATAACCGGGATGGTTTGACTGGTGTAAATGGGGTTGCTCCCATCCCCGTGAATAATCACCTCCTGAGTGGTTCCATTCGAATTTCATGGCCTGATGTAGTGTGGAATCCACAGCCCCAGCGGCATGTATCCAAGGTCGACCTAACAGAAGATTGTATGTAGCTGATATGTCAAGCACTTGGAATTCAACATCGAACCAAGTTGGACCCATCTGCAGACAAAGATTAATCTCCCCAATCATGGCCCTTTGAGACCCATCAAAGGCTTTCACATTCATACTTCCTGCCCGTATTTCATGGAAACCTTTGCCCAATCTTTTCAGAGTATCCAACAGGCAAATATTGAGGCTTGAACCTCCATCGATCAGGACTCTGACAATGAATTTGTCTTTAAATTATATTGTGATATGCAATTCTCGATTATGATTCAACCCTTCAGGCAGTAATTCATCCTCGTGGAAGGTGATCTTATGACTTTCCAGCATCTGCCCTACCATGTTGGCCATTTCTTCGCAGGAGGTATTGTTGGGTATGCAAGCTTCATTTAACACCTTCATCAAAGCATTCTTGTGCACCTCTGAATTTTGCAATAGTGATAGGATGAATATCTAAGCAGGGATTTTGTTCAAATGATCAATGACGCAATATTCCCTCGCATGCACTTTCCTCCATAGATCATTTGGCCGCGTTTCAATGATAGGTTGCTTGGTAGTGGCCTCCTTACTCGATCCTCCTAAGTGTTTAGGTGTATAGACCCTTCCGGTTCTGGTCATTCCTTGTGCAATATCAAATTCTTCCACCTTTGCCTTTCCCTTTCGCCTAGCTTCGGCAACATAATCCTAGGGTATGGCTTTGGAATCGAAAGGAGGTGTGGTTGATACTATCACTATGAAAGGTGTGGCCACTTCTACCTCAAATGGAATAGGCATGGCTATAGGTGGAGCTACCTCTACCACAAATGGAATCGATGCAGCTACCTCAACCTCGACTGGTGACTGCATCTGTACTACAATAGGAGTGAGTGTGATTGTAGGTTTAAAGTCATCTCCCTCTCGAATAAGGCCGATTGACCCCTTAGGATTCCATTCTTCATCTATTTCTATCAGATGTATCCCACCGCCCCTATGATCTAGGAAATGATTGTTGCAGACATTGGGTGCAACTTCTTTCGCCTATATGACCTTGTTGTCAATCAATGTCTGGATTTTATCTTTCAATGTTTGGCACTCGTCAATGGTGTGCCTCTTCATACTGGAATGGTATGCACATGTTTTGTTTGGGTTGACCCATTGAGATGAGTTCTCTACTGCCACAGCGGGAATAGAAGTGACATAACCAGCGATTTTTAGCCTTTCGTATAGTTGGTCGATAGGTTCAGCAATAGCGGTGTATTGTCAGGGTGGTTTGCGATCAAAGTTAGGTCAGAGTCTTGGGTAGTTTTGGCGAGTTGGAGGTGACTGAAAATGAGATGGTTGGGAATTATAGGTGTGATAGGTAGTGGCTGGTTGGGAATATCTGTGAGATGAGGGTTGGTATGTGGGTGGAGGTGTTTGGTATGTGAGTAGAGGTGTTTGGTATGTGAGTGGACCATTGCTGCCCCCACGTCTCTCTTCTTTGATATGCCGCCTGATTGCAATGCTTTGTTCATGGCCTGTAATGCCTCAAAATTTGTCACCATTCCGTTTTTGATACCTTCTTCAATCCTTTCTCCGAGTTGATGATATCAGAGAATTTGTGATTCTCAATGACATTTAGCCTTTTATAATACTGTGGGTCCCGTGCCCTGACAAAGAACTTGTTCATTTGTTCTTCTTCTAGTGCTAGTCTACCTTGGCTGCTTTTGACCTCCACAAGGTAGCATAGTCACGAAAGGTCTCAGTTGGCTTCTTCTTTAAATTCTGGATGTAGAAGACATCCGGTGCATTCTCCGTGTTAAACCTGAACCGGTCCATAAATTCTAATGCCATACTCACCCAATTGGCCCACTTCTTAGGGTTCTGGCTTATGTACTAGGACAAGGCATCTCCAGTAAGACTTCTCATGAAGAGCTTCATTCGGATCCTTTCATCTTTTCCGACCCCCACGAGCTTGTCACAGTAAGTTCTCAAATGAACCTTGGGATCACCAGTTCCGTCAAACATCTCGAACTTGGGAGGTTTGTAGCCCTCTGGTAGTTCCACGTCCGGTTGTATGCATAGCTCCTCATAATTTAGACCTTTTATCCCTTTGCCTCTTTCGACACCCTAAACTCGACTTGTCAATTTCTTGAGTTCCTCAGCCATGTTCTTGATGAACAAGTCCTTCTCAACGGATTCTGGTGTATAGGAGGTTGGTTGAGTAGAGTGAGGTATGGTTTCCACATATACAGGGTTGTTTTGGTGAGTGCTAGGGATTTGGGTGTAGTGGTGATCGTTGGTTGAGTTTTGAGGATCGGGAATGGGTTGTGGTGTGTTTTGAGGAGTGTGATAGGTAGCGGTTGGTAGGTATTGGATTGTTTGATGATGGTGTTGTGGTGGAGTTGGTATCGGTAATAGATTTGGATTTTTGAGGTGGAGTTACATATTGATGCGGTGCGGGAGGGTTTTGTGGATGCTGGTTTGGTGTATTTTGGGGAGGTGCTGGGTTTTTGGTATTTTGTTGGTTGATATCGGGGACGTTCAGGGTGAGGGATAGGTTTGCTAAGTTGCGGACCTACTCAAGTTCTCCCTGTAACTCCAGTATCTTTCGTTCCAACCGTAAAACCAAATCCTTTGGTGCCGGAGTACTCCGACCGTCTGAAGTTTCCACATTTTCTGTATTTTCCTTTCGAATACCACTTAAGTCATCCATTTTAGCTTTCCCTCTGCTCTTTGTATTACTTGGAGGAGGAGGAGGTGGAGGGCCTCTGGATCTGGTGTGATATGCTGAAGATGCCAGTATATACGAACCAACCTTAGGGGATGAGAATAATAAAGAATAAACAAACATAAAAGGTAAACAAGTCAGTAAGAGTTCTGAAATGTTTGCAGTATTTAAACACATATTGCAGGAATGTAAATTCGTGTCCTAATTTGGGAGCCTTGTTGTGCCCGAGGTAGGCCTAGCAACAAATAGATTTGGAGAAATTCAGTGCCAATAATTTCCTCATTTCATTAATGTTAAAAATAGATGACCCAAAACGACACTAAATAAGATAATGTTACTAATAGCACTTGGCCTTATTACATTTAAAATAAAAGCAAGTAAACCTAATCTACTTGGTCCAGAAGGACCCTCTCCAGACCGGATACTATTCTCGATCAATTCCTGCAGTTTGCGTAGGTTCAGCAGTAAGAATGCCCTTGCCAAATGTCCTCCTTTGTTTCCCTCTGCGTTCTAGCAATCAGTGACCCTGTTTCTTATTTTGCCTTCCAATTCCATTAAGTTGTACTCCAGATATTCCCAACTTTCGTTGGATTTAGCAGCCCTCTCTTTCCACTCATTGATCATGTCCATGTCGGCCTTATGCTGCTCCATATGCTCAGTTTCAGACTCACGAATTCTTTTGCGCAGCTTGTTATACTTCACCTCTGCTTCGTCAACTCCGTCTATGACCCTGTTTCTTGGACCAACTCTTGGTTCGAAGATCCCTGCTATGTTATCATCCAACCATGAGGGGTAAAAGTATGAGTGACCCGCATGATATCGATCTGGCTCAATGGTATCCTTTTCCACGATTATCTTCAAAGTCCACATATTTTGTGCTTCATTCTTATATGGGATGGCGTCACCCTGAAAATCAGCCATGAAATGACTCATTTTATCGGCTCGTGGTATGACCTGTCTCCTGCTTGCCTGTCTCCTAACCCTGAGGGGAGCATAAGGGTATATTCCCCTTAACCCAATCAACACCAAGTGTGAAACATCCCTAGATTTGATGATAAACTCGTCAGTGGGGAAACACTCGAACATCCACTAAACCTGGTCCTTAGTTAACTTACACCCATCCTAGTACATCCTTAGGTTGAGCAAACATGTCCGGAATATAAGTCATTCTCTTAGGATGATGGAAAGCTATGTGATCATTCCACGACCTTCGTGGAAACTCTTGGCGGTATTGACCCTTTTGGAGATGCTCTAACAACCAAATCTGTAATAGCAAATTGCAACCCTCAAAGAATCTGAACCCCTTCTGACAGCGTTCCAAGGCTCGATACATATCTGCAATGATCATAGGGACACTACAAAAAAATGGACTATTTGCGGGGTTTTATTTGCGGAGGTTTCTATTAACACCCGCAAATTGTATTAAATTGCTGGGGTCAGTTAAGCCGCCAAAAATTATCTTGTAATTGCGACGGTAAAGACCTCCGCTAAATAAAAATAAAGAGCCCTAAAATTTTCGCACGTTATTTTTCTAGTTTCCCTCCTTTTTTCCCCAAACCCTTTTTTCTATTTTTTTCTCTTTTAATTGCGGCGGTCGTGACATCCGCTAAATAAAAATAAAGAGTGCTAAAATTTTCCCACTTTTTCTAGTTTCCCTCATTTTTTTCCCCAAACCCTTTCTCTATTCTTTCACTCCCCCAATCTGAAGGAAAACGAAAGAGTCATTGTTCCCCAAACCCTTTCTCTATTCTTTCACTCCCCCAATCTGAAGGAAAACGAAAGAGTCATTGTTCCCCAAACCCTTTCCCACATCTCAAAATATTAGCAGTGGAACTTCAATCACTGCTAATATTATTTACTATTGTTCAAGTAATCTGTTCTATTGGCTTTATTTTTAATTTTATTCAGGTAATATCTCTTATTTGAAGAATGGAGCAGCCATGGATATGGATTCTAGCTTGGAATTTTCAGATTTAAACTTAAATTTTTTTTCGTTTCCCTCATTTTCCCCACTCCTTTTACTCATTATCTGATTTTGTGTAATTTCTCAGATGTATTGCCATTTGCTTCAGTCAGAGTAATTTCTCCCCACAGGTATTGTTATATTTGCTTAAAGGTCTTTCTTTTGTCTTGCATGTTCGATTTTCACTACGATTTGAGTGTGTGAATGAAAATACTTTTGGTTTCTAAATATATGTATGCTTTTGTTAGGTATGACTGAAATTTTTTCCTTCTTTTCTCGTTCTTAGTAGCTTCAAATTTGGGGTTAAAATTAATTTTTTAAGACACACTTTACAGTAGTGCCTTCACCACCCTCTGTTACAGCAGCAACTGCACTTGGATCAATACCTTCGTCACTAATTTCTACAATAGTGTCCATAAGCTGCCGATTGATATTCTGTATCTCTTCAACCAGTGCATGATTAACCTGCAATAGATTACTAATTATTGTTAGTACACTATAGGTACAAAACCCAAAAATTGACAGTATTTATAGATTTGGGGTTAAAAAGCAAATGTAGCTTTGTGTGAATATTGTTCATTGTCTGGTAAGAGAGAAATAATTACTATTATTAACATTGTTTAATTTGTAAAATGTGCATTTGTGAAAGAGGATGTTTTTCTTTAATTATTATATATGACAATACTTATGGACTTATGAAGTGTGGTTTTCTGCCCTTGAGTATTACGTTTAAATTAAGTTGAAAAATCATAGACAAATTAATTTCTGTTAAAAAAGCATATAATTTAGGAATATTTAAAACCTAACAACAGAAACTATCAAGTTGCCCCACTCTAATTTGATTTACTGACAGGTTGCAAAACTATTTTTATTTTTTATCGAACTCTCTTGCGCAAAAGAATCTTCATTGACAGTTGCACTTTTGAAAATTTTAGATCAATTTGTACTTTCTAATGGACAAGTCTTGGATTGGAATGCCAAGAACCTCAACAGAGTATTTGCTTGGTTTGAATCAATTTCTAGATTTTGCGTTTATGAATGGAGCTATAAGAGATAAAATAAAATGTCCTTGTCCGAAATGTGGTTTTGGAAAGTGGCAGACAAGAGGTATAATGCTTGATCATTTGATTTGCAATCCATTTCCTAAAAATTATGTCACTTGGGTTCTTCACGGGGAAATAAATGTGTTGCAGAATTCTGGGAACGTAGAGGTCACTCAAGATGCACCACCTCCCGAAAATCCTATAGAATTGCTGAGTAATGAAGCATTTCGGGGCATAGGGCATGAGGGCGTTGATGTAGGTCCATCACAAGTAGTGGAAGAAGAAGAAATATTAAATGATATTCCCGCTTCAAATAATATAAAGACTTTTTTGAGTTGCTTAGAGATGGAAGTCAAGAACTATATGAAGGGTCTAAGTACTCAAAGCTAGAATTCTTGTTAAAATTATATCACATAAAGTTCTTGTCAGGGCTAAGTGACAAGGAGATGACTATGATACTAGACCTTCTAAGGGATGCATTTAACTTTGCAAAGATCCCTGATTCTTTCTAGGAAGCCAAGAATACCATCAACAAGCTTTGTCTTTATTATGACAAGATAGATGCTTGTCCAAATGACTACATGTTATATTGGGAAGGTGATGCTAATGAGGAAACATGCAAGTATTGTCACACTTCTAGATGGAAGTTTAATGAGAAGAGCAACAACAATCAGGTATCCACTATTGGTAAGAGGAAAGAGAAGAATAAGAAGAAACAAAAGAAACAAGCCAAAATTTTGCGTTACTTTCCATTAAAACCAAGACTACAAAGATTGTTCATGTGCTCTAAGACTGCCGAGCACATGAGATGGCATGTGGAGGATAATAGCAAAGATGGAATCATGAGACATCCTAGAGATGGTGAGGCATGGAAGAGGTTTGATACAATTTTTCCTGAATTTTCTTCTGATCCACGAAATGTTCGATTGGGACTAGCTAGTGATGGTTTTAATTCTTTTGGGACGATGAGTACTAATTATAGCATTTGGCCAGTGGTTTTGGTTCCATATAATCTTCCACCTTGGTTGTGTATCAAAACAACCAAATTTTATCCTATCAATGATCATTCCAGGTCCGCGTACAGCAGGAAATAATATAGATGTATACCTACAACCCCTTATTAAAGAGTTGAACGAGTTATGGTGTGAAGGTGTGGAAACTTTTGATTCATCAAAGAATGAAACATTTAGAATGCAAGCAGCCTTTATGTGGACAGTTAGTGACTTTCCTGGACTTGATACCTTATCTGGTTGGGACACACATACTGGTTTTGCATGTCCCTCTTGTAATTTTGACACAGAACCTTGTCGACTTTGTCATAGTAGGAAGTGGTACTTTATGGGTCATCGTCGATTTTTGTCAAGAAATCATAAATTTAGATTGATGAGGCATCGTTTTTATGGTAATGTGGAGGAGAGGATCCCGCCAAGAAAGTTATCTGGTTCTGATATTTTGCAACAAGTGAAAGAACTTGATGTTACATTTGGAAGACCTGCGGCGTTGAATGATAGAAGGAAAAGAAACAGATAAAGGAATGTTGGGCAAAGTGCAACTCTGCAATGGAGAAAAAAAAGTATATTCTTTGATCTTCCATATTGGGAATTCAACTTATTGCGCCATAACTTAGATGTTATGCACATCGAAAAAAATGTGTTTGATAATATTATATATTCTTTGCTAAATGATAAAGATAAATCAAATGATCATGTTAAGGCTAGAAAAGATCTACAAGATATGGGCATAAGGCGTGATCTTTGGCCTGATGAGAATGAGGAATGTCGGCTTGCTGCTTTTGCTATTCCAAAGGAGAAGAAAATTTCCTTCCTCAAAAATTTAAAGAATGTCTCAGTGCCAGATGGTTACTCAAGTAATATTTCTCGTTGTATTGATTTGGATCAAAAGAGGATCTTTGGATTAAAAAACCATGATTACCACATCATTATGGAACAATTGTTACCTATAGCAATTCGAAATGTGCTTCCAAATCATGTTGTTGCGGTCTTGGTAAAGCTTTCTTCCCTTTTTAGACACCTTTGTCTGAAAAGCTTAAGCCTTGGGGACCTCGAAAAGATACAAGATCGGATTGTACTCACACTTTGCCACCTAGAGATGTTGTTCCCTCCATCTTTTTTTACTGTAATGGTTCATCTAACTGTCCATTTAGTGGATGAAGTAATACAAGGTGGTCCAGTACATTATCGGTGGATGTATTTTATGGAAAGATAAATTGCTCATTTATTAATAAATTCTTTGAATTATTCTTTTAATAGTAATTCAAAGTAAACACTTATTCTAATACTATTACATTTTGGTTATAGACTATTAGGTCATTTCAAGTCTCTTGTAGGGAATAAAGCACAACCAGAAGGCTCCATAGCTGAAGGTTACCTAGTTGAAGAAGCTTTAACTCTCTTTTCCCGCTATTTTGAGGATATTGAATCAAGGGTAAATTGGCCTAAACGTGTAAATGATGAACCAAATCATATTGAGCCTTCTGATATGTCATCTATGTTCCATCGTCAAGGCAAACCAGTTGGAGGATCCTCCACATTCCTCTTGACTCCTTTGGAGAAGACTCAAGCTCATCGATATATATTACTTAACTGTGATGCCGTGAAGCCATATATTGAGTAAGAAATTTTAATTGATTAGATAATTACAAAGGCTTTAGAGTGAAGCGATTAAAATTGATACATTTAAATCCTTTTTAGTGAATTTAGGGAGCACATAAGAAGGAGTTCAAGAGGCCGAAGGCCTTCAATAACAGAGATAGAGAGGAGAGTTAATAGGGAGTTCCCTGATTGGTTTCCAAAGCAAGTAAGTGTATTGTAGTATATTGTTTGTCTATGTATAGCTCTCTTTCTTGAATTTTAAATATTGACAAAAATAGTTTTGCTTATTTAGATTATGAATCCGAACATAGCAAACACGATCTTTGTTGACATGCAATTCTTAGCACGAGGTCCAATTCCAGATGGAAGGAGGTTCACTGCTTATAACATTAATGGATTCAACTTTCGGACTTTGTCTAGAGAACAAGGATTGAAAACTCAAAATAGTGGAGTTTTTCTTACCTCTGACACTTCTTGTATTGCATCTAATGATGATAGAAATGCAAGACAAGCAGACTTGCCATATTATGGAAAGCTAGAAGATATAATTGAGCTTAATTATTATGGCCGATTCACAGTTGTACTCTTCAAGTGCCAATGGGCGGACACTACTCGAGATAGAGGATTCAAAAGAGATGTTTGGAATTTTCACTGTGTCAATTTTTCGAGATTGATTCATATTGGTGATCGTGAGGATCATGATCCTTAAATTGAAGCATCTCAAGCAAATATGGTATACTATGTTGATGATGAAACTGACGAAGGATGGAGTGTGGCCGTACATCTAAAGCCAAGAGATTTGTTTGACATGGGAATGGCGGATGAAGAAAAAATATACGAGAATGAACCATTCCAACAACAAGAATTTGAACAGTTTTTTGATGTTAATTATGAGAATATCCAAGTTTCAATAGAGGAGCATATCCCTAAATAGGATTTAGCTTTTCTAGTTTCTATGGTATATTTCGTGTGTTGAGCATTTTAACACTTTGTTGTTATGTAAACACCTTTGAATTGAAGATTTACAGATGGTTATATATATCTGAATTTTGTTATGATTGGTTTAATATTTCTCTATTTTGTATTTCTTTGATAAGGATATTTAAATATTTCTTTGTTTTGTCTAGAAGACTTATAAAGTGCTAGTGAATCTTGGTTATAGATATGCCGAGGCCCCGACGTTACCCGAACTTCCAAAAGTCAGTTCAGTCAGCTTCAGCTTCCGCTTTAGCTTCAACGTTTGCTTCAGCTTCACCACATCTGACATCATTTCTTCAGCCAACACCACAGCCGACACCTTCAATTCATGCTACAGCACATGTGGCCCCAGTTGTTCATGTCACAGAACATGTGACCTCGTCAATTCATGCTGCAGCACAACCGGATCCGTCCGTACAGACTACAACACAATCAACTCCATCAGTTCAAGCTGCATCATAGCGCGGAAGGCGTGGTGCACGTGAGTCTACGTCGCATTGGACAGTAGATGCGATAGGTAAACTTTTCTTGCTTGGTTTCATCTCTATTTCAAACTGCTGAATCTTCTTTTACATGATCATATTATTAAAAAGAAAAATATTGTAATGCTTTTTCCAACTTGTTTTAACTTTTCTAGTTACTAAATGCTTTGAGATTTCACGAAATATAAGAGAATGTTACTTCTGCTTGGTTTAACTTAGTGTTTATTTTTAAAGATTCATAAGGAGTTAGCAAGAGACTCAAAATAAAGGTTCGTGTTCTTCTATGTGCCAAGATAAGTACAAACAAGTTTTGGATACTCACAATGAAAGAAAAGAGAATTACGCTCAAATTATGAATGCTCACACTCAAATGATGAATGCTTTCAAGGCCTATATGATAATGAAAGAAGGGAGGATACGTGAAGAATTTGCTGGGATCTTTGTTCCTCCTCCTGCTACAACGGTAAAAAAAATTCATAATTTTTTTATATCGAAAGATTTGAAAAAAATAGTTTATCTACTAATGTTGTTGTTGCATCTGTTGTTACTCTTCTTGCTGCCGTTGTGCTATTTTATGAACCAAACAACAAGACTCATTGTAAAAACGACTTTAAAATATGGTATATATGTTAAAAGATGGTTCTTTTTTACGCACCATGTTGTTTTTGTTTCTGTTGCATCTGTTGTTTTGCCTCTTGCTGCTATTTTTTTGGTGTATGAACGAATCTCACATCAAGAATTTATTGTAAAATAGCATAAAAATATGGTAATATGTGTAGAAATGGGTCTTTCTTATTTACAATGTTGTCTTTGTTGTTGCTGCATCTTATGTTTTACTTATTGGTGTTGATGTGCAGTTTTTATGAACAAAACATCAAGAAATCACTGTAAAAGTGACAGAATAATGCGGTTAAAATTGGATCTTTTTTATACACCCATGTCGTTTTTGTTGCTGCTGCATCTTATGTTTCTTTTCTTGTTGTTGTTTCGCTATTTATACAGCAAACATCAAGCATAAAAATATTGTATATGCATTAAAAATTGAATCTTTGTGTGTGTGTGTATATATATAAATCTGGCGTTTATGCAAAGGCTTGATATGCTTTTGAAACCAACTTGTCTGGGCATATTCTGGCCTTGGACTGGAGTGCTAAACCTTTAGCCACCATAAAAAACTTGTATAGTCAGGTATACTACACCACAAGGACCTTTTTCTTTGCATAAAGAACAAATGAACTCTGTTGAAAATATTGATATTTGATACATTTAAGAACTCCTATGCTAAGTTGCCTTCAGATGTAAAGGACGGTAGAGAAACAGAGATCATCTCATACCTCCCATATTCATTATAATCTTCTATTAATTATATTTTTTTGTAGGCAAATGATACAACTAGAAGATCCATTTCACTCATGGGCTTTAGAAGATCATCTGATGGTAGTGATTCCAGTGACAACAATTGAAGTTCCTTACAAGTGTATTAGATAATTAAGTATGATACTGGATTGAATGGTTGAAGTAAATATTTTGTGTGTAATAGCTGCAGTAGATGTTTTGCACTTAATGGCTGCAGCAGATATTTTACACTTAATAGGTGAAGTAGATGTGGTGTTTAAAGCTAGTTTTGAGACTAAAGATAATTCTTAATGTTACATTCCTTATGATTTAATATTATTTTAATGTTACTAATTTTGATATGCAATTTCAATACTATGTTCATGCTTCATGCTTCATAATATTAATATATTTAAATTATTCTATAGAAAATTTTGGGAGCCACAATTACCCCCAAAAATCATATTATTTTGAAAAAAATAACTGAGGTTATTATAACTCTCTAACTAAGTAAAGAGAATATGCTATGCAAATTGCATAGGTTTAAACCCCTACAAATTGCTTGATTTACGGGGGTTTCAACCGCCGCAACATTTTCCTAAAAAAAGTTTCAAATTGATTAAATATTGAAAATACAGGGGTTTGATTGCCGCTAAATCAACCGCCGCAAATGATACAAGCGGTCACGAAAAGACCTCCGCAAATTGATTGCGGCGACAAATATTGCAGGGGTTTTTAAAACCGCCGCGAAAACAATTTGCGGGGGTTACTGACCCCCGGAATTTGCAAATTTAACCCCCGCAAATAGTCCCTTTTTTTGTAGTGGGACAATGGTATTTGTCTGCCCCTCGATCCCACCCATTAAAGTTTTGGCTACCATAGCGAGCCTGGTACGGATTCTATCGCCTTGGATCGGGAATACCAGCATGCCCAAGAAACACACAATGAACAAGAAGACCCTACGATGAATCCAACTCAGGGAGGTGATTGAGAACTCATCATAAAAAATATGGTAAGAGCTACTGTGACCGTATCGTTCATAGAGGAAGTCAAAAGGTATGTAGGAATTTTTAAGGCACTCCAAGTCATCATTTTTCTTCAGCCCAATCATCTTAAGGAATCCTCTAGTGGTGCGATTTTCAGGCGCAATAAACTAGGGCTATCCCAAGGCAACCCAGCAAATCCCCCTATTTCTTCTAGAAGAGGGGTCATTTCTATGTCCCCAAAGTGGAACACAACCCTTTTTTTGTCCCAAAACACGGGGGCAGCCTCGATCAACATTTTGTTTGGCTGAAGATCCAATAGAGAAGGCAAATTTTCTAAGACTCGTTTCACATGATTTTGGTCACTTGAGGGAAGGTCCCTCTACCAATCTAGTAAAAGTGAAGGTATACTACCGACCATGCCAAATCTGGGGACTTCGTGCCGCATTTTCTGCAAAACAAAAGGTGGTTAGGCCCTTTCATCCTCCAGGTTCATCTATTTATACAATAATGATTAGCATATTGGCACTATTTCTCCAAAATTAATGCACACAATCATGGTTGCGTCTGTTGGGATTATGGTAAACCCGATGGACTTTTAGGTGAGGCTTGTCTTAAAGGGTTATCATATGGACAACATATTAACCTGACTAAATTTGACCATGATGCATGTACAATTAATCAGAGTAAAGTTGCTATAGAGGTCTAGACTGAGACCCTCAAGTGGACAACTTGCGGGGGAAAGGCACGAAACCGTCGAACGCACCGCTAATCGACTAGTTTTACCGCAAATATGCCTTTCCGAAGTTAAATGGGTGATATATAGGAAAAATGCAAACACTCATCAAGCGTTACTATATACATATATTATACAGGCAATCAAATAAGGCAGGGATAACCAATTAAGGTCATAAATAAGAAAACACACAAGATTTATGCATATGGATCTCGATCAGAGTATATCAATCAGCCAAAACTTTCAAAATAACACTGATTTCTAGAAAGAAATACTCAACTTCCATAAACAGAAATTAGGCTAAGTAAAACTTCACAAAAATATAAAAATTAGTTGGAGAAACAGATTCGAACCCTAGTAGAGATTAATTAGGGCAAACATACAGAATAATGGATTTGATAAAGAAAAAATGTGTAAGTCAAAAATACAGAGTAAATTAATACGATTGGTAACACAGAAAGACTCAAAATCGAAGCAAAGGTTAGAAAATAAGAGTATCACACAAAATCAACTAAGGTTTAAGTAATTTTTGCACAAATCAGTCACGAAGACAAAAAATAATTAATCAAACACTTAGGAGTCAGAAAAACCTTTGAAAAGTAACTTGGGATGAACCCTTGGGGAAAAATCTGAATAATCAGTTAAAATCAGAAATTCACAAAGAAGAACAGGTAATAGTGCTTGATTCATCTCAAATCTATATAGATCTGAGAAGGATCAAAGGTAATAGACTAGGTTTTTTAGAAAAGTAATAGAGATGTGAGAATAGGTCAAGAGACCATAGATTCGTAACAAAACAAAAGGAAATTCTTACTCACAGTTGAGAAAATTGCCTGAGACAGGATAACAAGCAAGGTTTCAAACCAAAACTGGTAGGGTTCCTTGAGATCGTCTCAAGGATCTAAGAAGTCAAAGAGCCATGGTGCGTAGAAGGCCAGGACCGGCCGGAGAAGACATGGAAACATCACGGGGTTGAGATATACGCCGGTGACGACGTTTAGAACTAGGGTTGGGTCGAGAGAGTTGAGAGAAAATGGGAGTGATGACGGCGCGTGAGGGGATTGAATGAGAGGGTTTGGAGGGGAGGGGTTAGGTCTAGGTTTAATTAAGGAAAGGGAAATATGGACCGTTGATCTGAATGATCAACGGTCAGGATTGAATGGGGGGTATTGGGTCGAGCAGGTGTGTATTTGGGCCTAAAGGGATTGGGCTAATTTTAAAAGGGGTTTTGGGCTGGTCTTTTGGGTTAAGTATGAAAACAAAAAGGGGTTATTTATTAAATACCCAGATAACTGAGTAAAAATTAATTTATAAAATAAATAATAAATTATAAAAATAATTTTCATGCATAGAAATAATTATTCAATATTTTAAAAATACAATGGACCATTATTTTGTAAAATAATGCAATAATGTATGCTTGGGCTATAATTACAAAGTTGTTGCAATTATAACCAAAAAGTATAAATCTGGCCATTTGTGAAATAATTTAAACTTAATATGAGTATAAATAGTAATATTAAATCAAGAAATGTTATGAAGTCATTTGTGATGCAATTTTTGTAATTGTTTACATAAATAAAATACTGAAATAAATTAATTTAAAAATGTAGAAATTATAGAAAAATATCATTTGATGCTAATGCATAGTTTTGAAGATATATATGCATTTTGAAAAAATAATATAGGAAAAAATGGATATCAACATCAACGATATAACCAAATAAAACCCCAATCCATGAATGGTGGAACAGAAATGGGTTGAGTGCCCGGAGCCAGTCAATACAGAAGTTGATATCTCTATAAGGTGGCATCCCTAACAAATCTACAAGAAACACCTCTGGAAACTTGTGCACAACTGGTACTGAATCCATGGAAGGAACCTCTGACTAGGATCACAGATATAGGACAAATATGATAGATATCCCTTCTCGATCAAATGTCGAGCCTTCATATCAGAAATAACCCTACTAGTAGAATGGCCAAGAGTCCATCTTCACTTTAATCAAGGCAACGACATGGCTAAGGTCATCATCTTGGCATGACATTCCAAAATAGTGTGATAAGGTGATAGCCAATCCATGCCCAAAATAACATCAAAGTCCACCATATCAAGAACTAGAAGATCTACACTAGTCTCAAGGCTCCCGACAGAAACTACACACGAGCAATAAACATGATCTACAATAATAGAATCTCCCACAGGCATAGTCACATATATAGGAGAACTAAAAGAATCATGAGGCATAACCAGATATGAAGCAAAATAGGATGACACATAGGAATAAGTAGAGCCTGGATCAAATAGAACTGAAGCATCTCTATGGCAAACTGGGACAATACCTGTGATGACGACGTTAGATGACTCAGCCTCAGACCTAGCTGTAAATGTATAAAAATAGGGTTGGGCCCCACCACTCTGACCTTTGCCTCTCAGATGGCCTCTAGCTAGCTGGCCTTCACCTCTAATGGTCTGACCTCTACCTCTAATGGCCTGACCTCCACCTCTAGCAGCCTGACCCCCACCTCTTGTTGGCTGAGCGGGTGGTGGAGCAATCCGTTCCGGAACCATGGCACGAGAATCCTGCTGTGGCAAGCTGCCTTGTGACCTAGGGAAAAATCTCGCAACGTGCCTCGGATCTCCAAAAGTATAACAAGTACTTGGCTGCTCTGACTACTGACTTTGGAACTGACCCTGTCAACCTGAATAACCACCTAATAATTCTGGATCAGAGGTGTACTAATAGAAGCTGAAAGTGCGTTGTATGCTAGCTGCTCAAAATGAGACCCATAGGAACCCCGACATCCCAAAGTACCGGGGGTTGCCTGAAGTGCTGACTGAATCAACATGGGAGGATAGCCTTTACCAAATGAACCCTTGCCTCCAAATGAGGCACTACTGAAACCACCAAAATGACGAGGCCTCTTCTGAGATACTGCCCCCTATCTTGACTACGAACTATCTTGATCTATCTAGCAATCTCTATGGTCCTCTGAAAAGAAATATCATCTCCGGTCTCCTTGGCCACTTGTAGTCTTATACTGAAAGTAAGTCCATCAATGAATCTCCTCACTCTCTCCCTATCAGTAGAGAGTAGATAACTGCATGGAGAGCTAGGTCTACAAATCATGTCTCGTACTGGGTAACACTTATGCTACCTTGCTGAAGGCGCTCGAACTACCTGCGGTACTCTTCTATTAGAGTGAAAGGAATAAGCTTATTCAGAAAAAGCTGTGAAAATTGATCCCAAGTGCGGGGTGGCGACCCTACTAATCTACCCTGCTCATAATCTTGTCACCACCTCTTGGAAGTATCGGTCATCTGAAACACTAAAAGTCTTCTCCATTAGACTCAACAATACCTATGTTGCGCAGCACCTCGTAGCAACGGTCCAAATAATCATGTCGGTCCTTAAAAGGTGCACCACTGAAGTGAATAGGGAAGAGCTTTGTGAACTTATCCAACCTCATCAACCCTCAGATAATATCGAGGGCCTCTCCTCGGTCTATGTAACAATAATAG